GTGGCCAAAAGTAATAGGCACCCACAAACCTGATGCAGGAAGAGCTAACAGCTCACCCGCTGCTGATCTCTACAGGCAGCATTTCCATGGGTTTCAAGCACACTCAAGCACTGGCATGTCCAAGCTTCTGTAGCTGGGACATCTGGACCTTGGCAGGGAGTGGATGCCACAGTGGTAAGAGGATCAGTGTGGAGATTCACCCCTCTCCACAAATGCTCTGCAGGGTGCCCAAGCAGCCCCAACCTGCCCAGCTCGCAGAAATGTGGAGATGCCACCATAGGGAGGAGAGAGATGGTGCAGAGCTCTTAGAGTTGGGGTTTATCTTCCCAGTTTTGGCAAGGAGCTTTTTCTACATCTTCCTTTATGCTTAGGAAGGAGTTTTTGTCACCCACCTGCCTGTTGGGTGTCTGCGACCTGCCCTCGCTGGGTGACCGGGACTCACGCCGCCGCTCCGGTGACTCATCTTGTGCCTGGGGACTCCTCTCTTCAGAATTGCAGCGGGAGATGTCAGGGGACAGCAAGTGCTTGCGCTCTTTGGATCGTCCCCTCTCCCTGCCACCTGAGCGATGCCCATCGGACCGGTGGCCTACGGGACATCCCCATCAGTCCCCACTGTCCCATCCCCAGGAGTGGGGAACACTCAGCTGGGGGGTTGGTTTGGCATTGGTGTGGGATGGGACCACCCACCCTTGCTCACCTGAGTCAGCGTTAAGACGCCGGGCAGAGAGCTGGAGTGAGGAGTGGTAGCTGCGCCGGCGGGACTTGTAGGTGTTGTCACTGCTGCGCTCCATGGAGAACTCATCCAACCAGGAGCTGTTGGGGCGCTTGTCCCGGATGGTGGAAAATGATCGCCGCATCGAGCTGGTGTCCGTCACCACCTGCAAGCAACCCCGGCCCGCCGGGAGAGGGCGTTAGTGCCAGGCAGGGCTGTGGGGGACGGCAGCCAAGCAATTACCAGGTCATCCACCATCACTGGCACACCCAGCCTCCAGAATGGGGAGATTCGGGGCGAGGAAGGCAGCACAAATCAGGGGTGGGAGGAAAGTGGGATTTAGCCTTCATGCTCATGGGCTTCCCTTCCCCAGCTGGCTTCGAATCATGCTCCACAAGCAAAGCCAGCGACTATGATTCAAACCAAGGTACTGTGTGCTGGGGGAAGAGCAGCAGCATCTCACCCCAGGTGTGGGGACATGAAGGGTACCAAACCATTGCCCCCAGGCTGTCTCAGCATCCCTCCCGACCTTGAAATCAGGGTCAAGCAGAGTGAACAGAGACATCAAAGAAGAAACCATTGACAGAGAGGGGATCCTTCAGTGCCCCTCGCTTTGTGCTTATTTTTCCAGCTGCTGCCACTTTCCCAGACCCTGCCCTGGCCCTCCTTTATTCCTGCATTCCCATCCCCTTCCCCTGCACTCGTTCCCTCTCTCCCCACTCACACTGGTTGTTTTCATTTTCCTCTTTCTCTTCCTTTCCCCTTTTTCCTTTCCTTTACCCTTTCTCCTTTCCTTTCTCTCTCCCATACTGGTTCTTTCTACCTTCTCCTCTCCTTCTAGTTTGTGTTCTCACATGTTTTGTGGAAAGCATCACCTTCCTTTATATGCTCCTTTGTTTTATTCTAGTGGTTTTTTGCCTCTGCAGCCTCAGACCATTCTCCCTGTCTCCTCTCCCTGCACTGTAACCTTTCTTGCTCCCATTCCCTCCTGATCATCTCCCCTGCTGCTGAATGGTGAATAAAGCCCACAGGACAAAGCCTCCCTTCCTCTTCATGGCCCTGCCAAACTGCTATGACATGTCACACCAGCACTGACACTGGGACCTCTTGCTTGCATCACCACCTCTGTGAGAAAGCAGACCCAGAGACTTCACAGCAAAACCGAACTCATAAAAGTGCCTGTGTCTCAGTGGAGGCTGAGTACAAGACAGAACAACAGAGAAACCAGGCAGACAAACAAGGAGGTGAGATGTGGCCTGGGTTCCCCTGGACAGATGGAGAAGCGTGTGTGTTGGGACAATGGGAGATGAAGGAAAAGGAGTTTCATGACCTGGGAGATCCTCTGACAGCCAGGCTGGCACTCCTTGAACCTCAGCCAGTGCCCGGGGCTGGAGGAAAGGAGTGGTGTCCCACTGCAGAGCGACCCTGCAACCTTGCTCCATGATGGACCTCCCACTTGAGCCAGGAGATCGATTCCACTGGCTGTTCTCTGCTGCCAGTGTCCCCCATCTAGGGAGACAGCAACTCTCCTACATGTGCAGCACCTCAAAGATGGGGAGATGCTTCAGTATTGGGGATTGTGGGACTTGCTCAGTGCAGAGAGAAGCCCCAGTATTACCTGGTAGGCTTTGCTTGGACCCAGCACCCATGGGGGCTTTGCTTGGTTTTACCTGGGGATCCACAGTGAGACGAGGCATGGAGGAGGCCCTCCCAGAGACAGCGTGGTCCTGAGTGTTCACGGGAAGGTAGCTGCCACGGTTAGAGGGCTGCACTCTTTGAAATTCCCTAACCTCTGGCTCCTGGAAATAAACACACAGCCAAGCTCTTGGGATGGGATTGTAGCAGGGCAGTGCACTGCTTCTGCCCTGTTCGCAGGCGACAGCCCTACTCACTCAATTGGGGGTAGAATTTAAGTGGGCCAGAAAGGGAGTCTAAAACACATTGTCCATCATGTCACCACTGAAAAATAATCTCCTATTCACAATCCATTGCAGATGAGCATAAATGTGGTGCTTCAGGCTTGCCTGATGGCCAATTCATCTTGCACCTCTTCAGTGGCAGTGGAAACCCCACTTGGATCTGGTGACATTCTGACTGCCTGGGCTTTAACTCCTTCTTCTTTTACCAGAAGGGAATGAACATGTGGGATTTTCTCTCTGGCCTTGCTCTGGCCTTTAAAGGCTTCCTGGCCACATCCCCATGTGGCATGCTTTTAAAATAAAGCATGCCACCCATGGCACCTTTGCATTTTTGTTAATTCCCAGAGTAGGGGACAATTTTGTACAGGGTGTGGTGTCAAAGAGATGGGCAGATAGCAATTTTATGGGGCGGGGAGAGTCTTATCTGCCACCACCCCACTGGCAGGATGATGGAGTGGTCAGGGTGGCTGGGGATGCCCTCCTGCATGGTACACACCTCACACAGAGTACTACAGACCCCGGGGACATGGGCCAGGCTGGAGATACACAGTGGTACAACACTGCATCCACCAAGCGTCAGGGTGGTGCATGAATGCACACACACAGACATGGAGATATATATATAGATATGTATATATATACACACACACAGACAGACACTGCTGCTGCTGGCCAGCATGTGTGTGAGGCTGGAGGGGTGTGCTCCCATTGAAGGCAGTTTGACAGCTCAGTTTGGAATAGTGGACACCAGCACTGACAACAAAATGAACATGAATCCAAAAACATCAGATACCATCACTCAGCAGGGGGTAGGGATAACCCACTGAAATGAGCACTCAGTGGTAAAAAGAGCAGCCTGTGAAGAGAAGGATATTTTACTGCAGAACATCAGACCCTGGTCACAGCTCTCTCCCCAAAAGCACTTTCCACTGGCTGGTCCCACCGGCCAGAGCCTGTCCAAGGATGGCTGAGTGATACCCAGGGACATTTGTCCCCTGATTTGATCCATGTGTGACCCAGCAGCTGCCATCCCTCCACTGAGCTTGCTGCCATAGGGACAGGGAGCAGCATTTCACCACCGTGCTGGCAGCCCCACACTTCCCAGTGCCCACCAGCATCCCTGCTAGGACCAAAGCTGAGTGCCCGTCAGACAGTGCGTAACTTTACCAAAGACTGGTGCTCCTGGAACTGCCCATGGGCTGGATCCATGCATGCCAGCTGGAAGATCTCCTGTGGTGAGAGCGGGCTCAGTGAGGGGAACCCGCTTCTGCCACTCCTGCAAAGAAAGTCCGGCTTCAGGGAGGCCACGAGCCAAGTGCTAGATCACTTCTCCAGTGACTCAGAACTGGGGAGCTGCCATGCTTGCCCCCCAGGCTGTTGAGACCCCCAAGACAAACATCATGTTCCTCTGGAGATCTGAAGTGGTGCTCAGACAGGAGAGGACACCAGTGCCCAGGTCCCATAGCAGCAGCAGGAACATCCCAAGAGCAGTGTCAGCAACTCCCACCACCTCATTTCTACCAGCCGGGTTACTGGGATCCCCCATGAACCCTGCACCACCTAGGGACCCTCTGCTCAACTGCTTTCAAGGTTTAGGTCCATCCCAGACCCTCCTAGGTAAAAGAACTTTCACTTAGCACTGGGATGGTCCTGCAAGAAGAGCATCCATGCAGACACCTCGCCATCCCCCTTAGCTGCCTCCACTGCTATTGGTGATACTGACACACACTAGCTACCTATAATCCTGCAAAAGCTTTGTGCTGGGAGTTTTCTGCCCTGGAATGGCAATACTCACAGGCCAGAGAGGGTGTCTTGCTGGAGGTAAGGCAGAGCCTTTGCATTCGAGATGATTTCCTGCGGCAAGGAGGATGGCTCCATGCGCTGGAACATGGGGGCATTTTTCTGTATTAAAGAAAGTAACTCAACCTGTAGGAAATGCAGTTGAACATCCAGTGCTCCTCCAACCAAGCCCCCAGTGCTTAGGAAGGTGACATGCCATGTTCACTGCCTTGTAGTCACCAAATCCCAACCTGTACCATCATCTTCATCCCTCAGTTGCATCCCATGCAGCTGGCTGCATGTTTGGTAGTAAGCAGCAAGGGTGCTCTGAACATCCCTGTTCTGCCCACCACATGCCCTTACTGAGCCTCACCTGCTCTTCCAGCTGCTGACGCTGCTTCTTTGCTTTGCTCTGCTTGTAGTAATCCATGATCATCATGGCTGCATATATTTTGCCAACAGTCAGGTCAGAGGCTGAGAGCATAAGAGGAAACAAAGTGGGGACACTCGTGTCTTGACAGAAACAGCAGATCTGAAGGTACCAGAATGGATCTCAGGAAAAGCCCTGCTGGTGACCTTCAAACTCTACTCATCACTCTGAAAAAGAGAGAGCTGAAGACCCAGACACTCCACATGGAGATAAAATGGATTGAGATGGCTTGAAAACATCATCATAAACCACCAAGACACAAATGCTCATCACATTGTCAGATGTAACAGAGCAAGTGATGCTCCAGAGACAATTTACAGGAGGCTGGGTTTGGCAAGAGCATATGCCTGCAAATTGGGCATTTTTCAAGGGGGTTCTCAAGCAGCCAGGCAGAGCAAGGCAGAAGCAACACAAACCTTTTTCCCACTTCTCCCACTTTGGGAAGAAGTTGCTGCAGGTATGATGGGAACTTGGCAGCAACGACAGGCCCCCCAGAAACTCACTTTTTGGCATGGGTACCAATAGGTCAAGCATCTTCTGGGACAGGTGAGGCCAAATAGTCAGGATCTCCTTTTGAAGCTCGGAGTCTAACTGCTGCCAGTCTGCACCACCTTGAACAGCGGGGGGAAAAATGGCCCATGTACATCAAGACGTGACACCCGGTCTCAACTAAAACCACCCCTTTCCCATCCTGAAAAGAGGTTCACAAGCAGGAAACAGCTCTGTGTTGAGAGGGCAGTCTTGCACCAGCGAGCCTGGTCTCCTGCTCTCACAGGGAAACTTTCCTACCATCCCTTCTGTATGTGCCTCCATCTCCCCATCCCCTGCCCTCCCACTCAAAACTGCCATCTTCAAGCTCGCCTTGGGTCTGTCTCTGCATCTCCAATCCTACTCCAGCCCACACACACCTGCTGCTGCCCCACTTTCTCTTTTCTGGTGAGTGGATCATGTGCTGGTGAAAGAGCAGCTCCACTTGGTTGAAATCCTTAAATACTCAGTGATGCTGTGCAAGCAGAGCAGAGCTTTCTGGCCAGTGGTGAAGAGGTTTGCTGAGCTTAAGAAAGGCTCAAAGGGAGCTGTCAACACATGTCAAACCTGAGCCCAGGGCAACTCAGCCAAGCTGTATGAGACTCAGGTTCAAATCTCTGCTTTATCTAGAGGAATGTAAGGAGCTGTCTCAGCACTGGGCTTTTGACGATATCTTGCCCTGGCTTGGATTTTTTTCCAACAGCAGAGCTGTTGAAAACAGGGGATGTTTTCTTGATAATGGCATGTTTCTGCAGAAAGCCTTTCATACGATGAATCAGAGTGTTTCCAGCAACAACAACAAAACAGGTTTTCCTGCTCTGGACATTTTATTTTCCTTGAGAGAGATATTTCTGTTCCCCACAGCTTTAGGAGCTTTAGTCAAGCACATGTGATCTTTTCCCTCCTTGGTTTGGTTTTGTACACGGGGACGAAGAGGAATTCTCTCTCTCCTCCATTACAGTCTGGACATCAAGCTGTTTCTGTTCTCTAGAAGCAGTTTCTATTGAAAACCTGCCCACCTCTTCCTAAAAGAAATAATTTTGTTTGCTTGTTTGAATAGAAAGCAGCAGAAATATGCCTGTTCAAGGTAATCACTTCCACTCACATGTCAGGCTCTAGGTGGCCAACCCCAATTTGGCTGTGATATCTTCAGCTTGCCTAAAGGATGAGCGACAGTCACTCTGAAAACCTCCTGGCTCTGACCCCTCTCTACCCCACTGCCCTCACCTTTGGCAATTTTGATGTCCAAGGCTGTGCGTATCAGTGCCATCAAGGTGGAGGTAAAATGGACCGTCATGTCCTCAGCCACGGGCATATTCATCATCACCAGTCTCTGCGCAAGAGAGAGAAGAAAACAGCGGACGGAAAACAATATCGAAAAACACATCGACCAGGCTGGAGGAAAAGAAATTAAACATTAAACAAAAGGGAAAAAAATTAAAAAATAAAAAGCAACAAAGAGTGTCAAAACAGCACAGCCAAAAAAGAAGGGCAAGGATCATCCCGCCACCCCCGCCCTGGCTCCTTCCACCCCAGGACACCGGCTCACTGCCTTCCAGGGCTCCTCCTGCACCCCTGGAACGGCCTCTGAGCCCCCCTCCCCACAGCTCCAGGGCTGCCATGGCACTTCCTGGCACTTTGGGAAGACACGCCTGATCCATCAGGGATGCAGCCGTGGGGAATGCTCGGGAAAGGAGAGGGGGCTCAGGTTTCCGTTCCCCGGGTGGTTTGGCTTTCCAGCTCTCAACCCTTCCCACCTGGGGCAGGTGAGAGGAGGGTCCCTAACCTTCAGGGACTTCAAATTGGCTGGAATCCTCTAGCATGCTACATCCTGGCGCTCCCTTTTTGCATCTTTCAGAGATGAAGTTTGCCAGCACATGCACAGGGTCCAAATTATTAAAGGATGGGTAAGGGAAGGAGGGGTAGAAAAAGTGCAGAAGGAAAGGGAGAAGGGCAACCAGGGCAGGTTAGACACGTCATGCTCCTTTCCCACCCTGGGCAGGTGGGGTGCAAACTGAAGTGACCAGATCCACTTCCCAGAGAGTATATTTTGCTTTGTGAATACCTTGGGTCAACCCTTCCCTGCCCATTCCTTTTCACCCAGCTTCTCATGTCCTTTTCCTGCCTTCAAGCCTCCCTTTTTCTCCTGGAAAAGTGTGATGGTGGATGTATGCATGTGTGAACAAACGTGTGTGAGCTGGAGAGGGTGGCAGAATGTTTACAAGTGTGCAGAAATCCCAACTTCTCTAGCTCTGAATGCTGTAGAAAGGGCTGCAGGAAGCAGCCCATGGCCAAGAAAAAACAGTTTGCTCCAGCCCTGGGAAACACATGGTCCCATAGCTCCGGGTCTTGTCCTAGCAGCTGCTGCCCTCAGCAAAGTCACACAGCTCCCACTCCATGTCCTTCAGGGCTTCCCATGCTTCTGCTCCATGCCTATGCAGCTGGGAGCACGCTGTGCCTGTGCTATAAGCTGACTGCCAGCCTCTGCTTCAAGAGGAACAAGGGGTAAAACTCAGAGATACCTTTTGAAAACATCTGGCTTTGCCATGCACAAGTCATTCTTTGGGTAGGCTATGCTTATGTGTCTGGCTCCTCATGCACTAAATAGCTGCTCCTACAGGATATATCCTTGCTGCTCACCTGCTTCCCATCTCCATGGGCTTTAGCCCTGTTTCTGCACTGGCTGGAACAAGGATGGTTCCAAGCCTAGGCGGCAAGCTTGGGTCAGTGAGCTCCTAAAGACATTTCACTCCTAACTGTGCTATGGGGTTGCCCTTCACCTCATCTTCTCCGACCCTCTCACTTCCACACTATTGCTGATCCTGCCCCTCCTCTTCCACCCCAGAGCTCCCCAGGCTTGCAACTGACCACAGCAGTGTCACATGTGTGGGCAATGGAGACCAGCCAGCACGGCCAGGACTCTTCTGAGAACACCAGGCTCCCCAGGAGTGAGCTAAACACATGTTGGATACCCCAAATGCTTCCCCAGCCCCACCTCCCACAGCTCCCTTGCGCCCCAGCTCCTCCTCGGCTCTAGCCCACGTAGAAGGAAGGGTTGATCTACCTTATAGGCCACTTTTGAAGGACATCTCTTGCCGAGGCCTAGCGGTGGTGACATAAGAGTCAGCATTTCATACATCTCAGTGTAATGGATTCGGCCACTGCTCATTGAGGGGGAAGGGGAGGGAGGGAGATGCAGAGAGAGAGGAGGCATTCCCAGAGAGCAGAAAAACATACAAACAAAAATAGTACAGGAAAACAGGAGAGAAAAAAACAAACGGACAAACAGGAAAAGAACAGGAAACCTGTTAATCAAGGCAAATCATACATGAGAGACTGTCCTGATGTGGATTTATAGCACTGCTCACACAGACCCAGGAATGCTGGCAGAAAGCAACTCACCCCTCTCCTCTCTGCTGCTGGCCTCAAGCGCCTGTCTCACTAGCAGTCTGGGAGTGCTTCTTTGGTCTCAATCCCTTTCCTAAAGCCCTCCATCCAGCAGCCCCCAACTTGTCCCACAGGTTCCAGGGCTGTGTGTGAGTGGTATAAATCAGATACACGGCACTCAAGCCATGGGTTATTTGAGATAATGGTGGTCTGCACCACAGTGTTCTGTGGCCTCCGTAGCGTCTTCCCTCCTGGGGGGGGGGCTGGGTATTGCTTTGCATCGCCACCTAACCCATAGCTGGAAGGCTGTGTATCCCCAGCTCATAAGGTCTATGCAATTGGGAGGCAGCATCTTGCATAGAAGGCAGTGGGCCAGGGTCACTTGTCAAAGGAAGATGCCCAGTTGCTTCCGTCTGGCTCTGCGGATGGACCACTTTCCCACCATGCACCAGTGCAAAAGGCATGCTAAATTGGCTGAAAAAACAAAACTGGGAGGAAAAGTTGTACATGCCATGCTCCCGCCCTGGCTCTCTCCCACATGCGGCTGCAAGTTCCACCAGGTTGGAGTTTAAAGAGTCTCAGCAGAGGCAGCTGTTTGGGCCTTCCAACATTGGGGTTCATTTGGGTTTCCCAAGGGAGGCAGCTAGGATGGACCCCCACCTCACGCTCCTCTGCTCTATAAGGACCTGCCTAGGACTGCTGCAGTGAGGAACTCTGCCAAAACGAGCCACATGAAGATGCCTTGAGCCCTCTGCCAGGCTGAGATACTTGTCTCCCTTTCTCTGAACATCCAGGAGGCTGTTCAACTACGTGTCCCAGGGATCCTGGGCTCAGCCACCTCTTCTTCCCCTAGCACCAGGCTTATGTCCTGCACTACCATGTTCAGCATGGTTAATGGGCAAGGGCAACCTCACAACAGCAAAGGCATCAATCCTGAGAGCTGGGCTGCAAGGATGCTGTGGTAGAGGAACCTGTTTTATCTGGTGTGGCTGCCAAAAAATTAGGCACTCCGCAGGGGATCTTGGATTCTTCCCTAGCCATGTGCTCAGAAAGGCGTGAAAAGGGGAGAATGTAGCTCCTCAAAGGGTACCACTGTTTTGAAGCAGCCCCCCACCCAAAGAGGTCCCCCAACAAGATAAGTCCTGGCATTTTGGATGTGAACACAGTGATGACCGCAACAAGAGCTGTTTGGGGTGCAGGTACAGAACAGGCTGGGCAAGCTATCCTCTTTGAGACAAGACACTCTTAAATGGGTTGGAAAGAGGATTGATAACAATACCGGAGAACAGCATGTGGGATGATCAAGAAGTATCTAAGTTAAGAGTCTGTAAGCAGCAACTTGGCAGAGCTGGATGTGCACCAACTCAGGGTGTCTGAAGGGGAGAAGATGACTTCAAATCTTTATACATGAACTTAGTGCAAAAAGGAAGCAAGACAGTGATATTCCACACACCCTTCCTGGCAAGGGGTTTTTTTAGCATACCCAGCACGCATCAGACACTGTCTTTCATACTGAGATTCTCCACACAACTGTGGCAGAGTTTTGAGCAGCACAGCAGCGCCCAGAAATCACATCCCCATGAAGCAAAGCACACGCAGGCACGTGGAATGTCATCCATCTGAACAGGATGGCTCCCAAGAGCTGGTCCAAGCATAGGCACATCCCTGATGGAAGAACTGACCATCTATCTTGTGTCTGGGCAGAGCTATGACCTGTGGCTATGGCCCAGAGTGGTCTGTAAAACCACCAGGCACTAATGGCTCCATCCTGGTACTCTGAGAGGACCCTGTGAATGATGGAGGAGGAAATCTGGGGGACACATGTAGTCCTCCAGTGGTTAGGAAATAAGCACTGTGCCATACAGGGCTGTTAGCATCAGAATAGAAGTGATGCGAGACTTGATTAAGGAATAGGTGATGTCCACAGGGATGTCAATGTCTGTGGAGCATTCACCTGACCTATGACCATCTCAAGGGCTACTTTTCAAGGACAAAAGTGATGCCCTGGCTCACTTTTGCATGACTGCTAGAAGCAGAAGGGGTGAAGAAAGGCAGAGATATCCCCAAGAAGTGGGGCAGGCTGCCAGGGCACTGTCCCAGAAAGGTGTGGTTACAAGACCTGCTCTCCCAGCATAAGGACAGAGCTTGCTGACCTTCAAGGGAAGTCTTCCTGCATCAATGTCCCTTTGTTAGCCCACCTGAGGATGGCCTAGTGGGTATGCTTCCATACCATGCTGTACTGCTGTGCTGCATCCTGAACTTGCCCAAGACCCAGCTCTTCCAGAGCAGGCTCTCCACCACTACATAAACACATCTGTGGTTGTTTCTGCAAATCATTGTTGCATGGATAGGGGTGTGGGCTCCAGGGAGGTGAAACATGTGCACTGTGATATGCAGAGCAGGCTCACCAAACAGAAAGGCGACTAGGTTGGGTTGACATTTTGGAATCTGGACCATGGTGGTAAGATGCAACAACCGCATGGGTTTTCTTGCTTCATGTCCTGGTTTTTCAGTAGCAGTCATTTTTTCTCCTTAGTAGCTGGTGCAGTGCTGTGTTTTTGACTTTCAGCCTGGGAACAATGCTGATAACACCGATGTTTGTAGTTGTTGCTCAGTAATGTTTACTCTGACCAAGGACTTTCTCAGTCTCATGCTCTGCCAGGGAGGAGGGGAAGCTGGGAGGAAGCAGAGACAGGACACCTGACCCAAACTGGCCAAAGGGGTATTCCATACCACAGCACGTCATGCCCAGTATAGAAACTGGGGGAGTTACCCAGAAGGCCCAGATCGCTGCTCGGGTCGGGCTTGGTATCGGTCGGCGAGTGGTGAGCAATTGTATCCTCTCCCCTTGTTATTTCCCTTATCATCATTATTACTAGTGGTATCAGTAGTGTTTTTGTATTATACCTTAGTCACTGGACTGTTCTTACCTCAACCCATGGGAGTTACATTCTTTCAGTTCTCATCCCCATCCCTCCGGGAGTGGGGGGAGGAAGAAAGGGAGGAGGGAGGAAGAAAGGGAGGAGTGAGCAAGAGGGTGCATGGTTCTGAGTTGCCGGCTGAGCTTAAACCACAACAGTTGCCTTTTGGGAATTGTTCCAGGGCAGTAGGAACCTCTGAAAATCTCATGTCCTTGAAGTACCCAATGCACAGGGGGAAAAAAAACGAGGTAACACAAGGAAGAGATAGGAACATGACAGCAGAAGCTGGTCTCACTCCCTCTGCCTCCACTTCTCCTTCCTTCTCCACCTTCACTGCTCTGTCCATCCCACAGAGTCAGCAGAAAGAGTACCACAGAGCTCCTTCTTCCCAGGAAGAACTACAGGTGCCCTTCTGAGCACCAGCTGATCCAGCTTAGGAGAGCAGCATTTGCCAGTGAAGCTCTGTTGTCAATTGAAAAGACCAGCAATTCTCCCTGAAGGTGTCCTCTGTCTGCAGAGACCTGAGCAAGTGTCCTCAGCAAAGCCACCATCCTTCACCAGAGGTGCAACAGACAGAAGTGGAAAGACTGCAAGAAGCCCTTCCTTGAACAGATAAGTATCTGAGATTCTTGCAAGAATTATCCTATCCCTAAATACCTCTTCATTAATGAGATGACTGAGAATCCAGACCTTGTCTTGCTCAGCTTTACTTCTGGTAGTCTTCTTCAAGATTTCGAATGTGTACATCATCCCCATATTCCTCCAGCTGTGGAGGGAGACAAACCCATTCTAGGGATGTTGGCTGAAAGAAGCATTTCAGATATGGCAAGAAGGATGTGGTGGTTACACCATGCCACACCAAGGAACCCTATTCCTTTGCGGAGCCAAGATTAAGAGCTGGGGGCATCAGATGCTGTGAGGGAAGCAGAAGAATAAGCTTTGTGGTTCATCCTTTCATGCCACAGACACAGACATAGGTGTCATGGCACTTCAGAGAAGGCAGCAGGCACAGGATTTTGCCCAACAGTTACCCCAACATAAAATAAAAAAACCCCAACAAACCAAACGTGCAAGTCAGAGATACACAAGGAGACCAAGTCACTGCTGTGCAGTCACAGCCAGCAGCTTGGCTCATGCAGAGGGAGACGACCTGTTAGGCTCCAGAGATGTGCCCAGGTGCCACCACCTCCCAGGCAGGTCCAACAAGCTAAGGACAAGGCTAGCAAGAGTCCTGTTCCCCAGAGACATGGTTATATGTCCTCTAAGTGCCACATTTGAGGAAGAGTCTCTTGGGTACTGCACAGTGTACCCCAGGGAGAGGAGTCACCCTGGCCTCCTCCCAGTCCTCACTCTCTAAAACAATGACAAAGTCCCCAACATCCTCCTGCCTTTGCTTCTCCCTTTCCTCAACCAGAAGCAAAGCACATCTAAGCCCCTGCCCCCCAAAAAACTCCTGCTTCCATGTGACAGTACTTTGAAAAACCAAGCAGGGATGGCGGCATTTGGCCTAGCACCCTTCAGGGCTCTCTGTGCTGATGGAGCTGGGGCAAGGGGCTGGCTGGGGGATGCAATTTGTTGAAACCCACCCCAGGAGGCTCGGAGCCCCCCTGGCCCCACTCATGCCTCCCCTTGAGGGGGACAGCTGCTGGCTCTGGGAGGCCGCGGACCTCTTTAAACTCGAAGGAAAGCAACATCAGGGTTCCCTCAGGAGGCGTGGTGGTGGTGGAGCAGGGGGGAAGGAGGGGTGGATGGTGCGTCCCGTGGCCAGGTTGTGGCGGAGGACTGGGAGGCAAACCTTGCACGCCACCCTGTAGGGGCAGTTCTCTCCTAGGCCCAGAGGAGGCGAGATCACCCGTACTAATTTGTACATATCCTTATACGGGATCCTGCCGCTGCAAAGGAAGCACAGGTGGGTTAATAGGACACTGAGAGGGTGAAGAGAAGGATGGAAAGCTTAACCAGGGGTTTCTGGGGCCATCTGTGGGGCAAGACCCTGGGGGGTCCATGGCTCTTCTCCTTCTGGTTCAGTCAGACCCAGAGAGGGGAAAGCTGTGAGCGTCAGTTACTGCCTTCTCCACTATGAGTCAGCTTATACATCCTCACACTGACCCATCTTGACCCTGTGGAGACGACAACTTTTGGCAGCGAACACCACCCCATCACCCTTTCTCATTGTGCCCCTGGCTGCCTACACTTGGTAGGAGAGGGCTGGGATTTTAGATAGGGTGATCTTGCCACTTGATTTGGTTCTAATCACCACAAGCCCTTTTGGTAGAGTTGTGTCCTACCACACTACCAGAAAACCTGCCCTTGCTTGGCCAGCTCTCAGGTCCTTACAGGGTCCCAGGGAGATTGGCAGCTGAGTCACTTGTATCTCCAGTATCTGGGGAATCTGACACGGGGAGACATAATGTGACCAGCTGGTGAGCGGTGGCTGTGGCACTAGCACCTAGGTCTCTCACGGTCCAGTCCTGTGCTCCCACCACCAGATCACGCTCTGCCAAGGGTACACATTATTGGAAGCAAACCCTCCCATACACACACCCCTTCTCTTGCCCACAGAAGCACATCTCCCCAGAGCAGGGTGCAATCATCGCAGGATACAACTCGTATCCCTCCTGCACCAGCTAAAATAACAAAGCAGTCAAGGCGTAGAGCTGGCAGGACCGTGCAGGGATCGTCAGATGCTCTGCTCCCCACTCTGCTCCAGACCAGAGTCCTTTGGGAAGCAGGACCATGTGAGGTGGAAGTGCTGAGGTGCAGCATGCTGCAGCCTCCTGGGCATCCTTAGACAAGCTTGGAGGGAAATCACGCGAGGAGGCAAAGAGCATTCCTGACTACCGAGCACCTTTGCCTCTGTTGTCTCCTTGCTCTTCTCCTATCCCCTCTCCATCAGTGGCCAAAGCCAACCCAACCAGCCGGGTGAAACCCATCCTGAGCCTCCTTGGTGTTGGGCAGTCTCCTCGTGAGACCTCCATGTAGCGGTCCAGGTGTTAGAATGCAGAACTGTTGCCTCATTCAGGCAGAGGGACCCATTCGGATGTACTCACCCATTCCTCATCCAGCAACTGGGGCTAGAGCTGCCCCCAAGGGCCCAGAACCACGAGTTCCTGTGCACGTTGCCTAACCACTGGCTACGTATCATGACAAAAGTGCATGGCTTGCTCAGAAATCAGAAGGGTGCATGGCATCAATAGAATGGGTCAGACATGTTTTTAGAGTGACTGTCCTGGAGACCCAGGCCACCAGCGTCGGGGGTGAGTGTGAATGAACTACATGGTGTGAAGAAATCCTTCCCAAAGACTGCAGGTGAGATGCACCACATGGAGCAGCTGGGTGTTTCACTGCTCTCACCTCCTCTCCCTTCTCTAGTTGTCCATCAGGACATCTACTCACCCGTGCTGACCTCCCCCCCACAACTTGCACAGGGCATATTCACCACTAACAAGCAAACCCATCTGCTCACAGAGGCCTTGCACAGCAGTAAGAGTGCTGGAGGAGGCCATGCAGGGAGGAACCTGGCCAGCACTGGGCTGCACAGGGTTGGACACAAATGGTGGAGGAAACTGTGCCAGGAGTTGCTGATATTAGGCATGAAAAAAAAGTATCTTGGCTGGAGCTGGTCTCTCGAGGTGCAGGACATTAGCAGTGGAGGCGAAGAGTCTCCGAAGGGAGTGCATGCGGCTGTCAAGAGCTCTCAAGCTTAGACAGCTTGTGCTCCTCAGCACAGCAGTAGTAGTTCATGGCTCCAGAGGCTGTCTCTGGGCTGCAGGAGGAAGGAAGGGGCCATAAAAGGTCTGGGACTGAGTGAAGGGCATACATGCTCCGAAAGTTGCCAAGGGCTCCACACTGCCTTAGGAATGCTCCAGACCATCTTCGGAGGAGTAATGGAGAGCAAGTTCTCTGCAGCAACAGCAGGAGCAGAGCCAAAGCCCGGCCACCCAGGGTATGTACAGTTGCTATAAACCTGTCCTGTTGCTGGGAAAAGGCTGCTGCCTGCAAATGGGAGCCGTATTTCCTGGAGTCCTCATCAGCAAACGCACAAAACATACTCATCTCTAGAGTAGCAAGCAGGCTGGCCAGCATGGAAACACAATTCCCCAAACCCAACCATGCTCCAAACAAGGTTCTCAGGGCTGAGAACAGGCCACACTCAGCCCTGCTCTGATGGGGAGCTGCGGGTGTTGGGGACAAAGTGATGGAACCGGTCTCAGAGCAGAGGCACCCAGCTGGTGCACAGAGAAGGAGGCTGGAGGGAGAGGAAGAGCAGGAACCTCCACTGCTCAGGATAAACACTATGAACTATACTATAAACAGGAAAAACCATGAACATTATCCAAGACACCTCTGCCACCAGGCACTGTAAGAACCAGGTGCTGCCCTTGTAAGGACCACAGGCGAGAGCAGTCCTTCCCTGACCATCCCAGGCATTGCAGCTGGTTTCCAGTAGTAGAACACAGAGATGCCCTTTTAAAACCAGCTCTAAAAGCCTGCTCGGGAGAGAAGGAGCTGACTACATACCACGCTGCTCTGTCATACTCTGCCCAGATCCGGACAAACTCATCTAGATGGTGAGGTCCCAGGATAGAGGAATCCCGAGTCAGGTATTCAAAATTGTCCATGATGACTGCCACGAACAGGTTGAGCATCTGAGTGAAAAAGAAAAAGGCAGAAAGAAAGGAAAGTGGGGGGAGAGGGAGCAGAGAAGGGGAGAGGGAAGGAAGACTTAATTGTGGGACAATGACTCTGGGTGAAGGTTCAGGAGTTGATGAGGGGGACCTCTAGGGCTCTCAAGGGGAGGAACTCACCAGGAAAGAGCAGAAGAAAATGAAGGAGACGAAGTAAACATAAGCCAGGTCGGTGCCACAGCGCTCATTCTCATTCTGCCCAGACGTTGCCGTTGTGTCTGGCTCGCAGCCTTTGCCTTCCAGGCAGGACAGCATGATCTCCTGCCATGCCTTGTCCAGGCAGCAGAGATTTATCCCCTGCCATGCCTCTCCCGTGGCACTCCTGTGCCCAACACAGCCATGCTCAGCAGCTTGTGGTGGCACGAGATGGAGCCAGAACAGGATGCCCCAGGCAGAAACCACACAAGGAGCTATGCAACCTCCTGCCCAAATTAAATGCATCTCTGGCATGCAGAGGAGCAAGGCATTGGGTCAGCAGCAACTGAGCCGGACCCACAGGAGTGCAGCTGTGCCAGAGTGTAGCTCCAGGCACATGAGGCTGACTCCCCCCAGCCAGATAATCCAAAAACTAGAAAGACAGATACCCTTTTGGGGCAGGATGGAGAGGAGGTGGTGGGGGAGGGGTTCCTGAGCTCCTGCAACTGTGTGGTTGCCCAGCTGGTCTCCAGTATCAAAAGCTGACCTACACCAGCCAGCCTTCAATGAGAACCTGCCCAGCCTGGCTCCTGGCACACCTGCACCCAAAAACACTACCAAAGGAGCCTTCCATGGTGGCTTACCTGAAAAGGAGCATCAGGGAGCCCAGGAAGCTGCGGAAGTTGTTGTGCCGGTTAATGTGGCTTTCTTCATCTAGTTTGATATTGCCAAAAACCTATGTGAGGGAGAGAAAGGGCTCAACTCTTTGGGCAATAGCTCATTGGCTGGGAGAGCGGCTACACATTCACCTCGCTCATGGGCACACAGCCCTGTGCAGCAGGGACCAATCCTGCCCGAGGTCCATCATCCTCAGCACAGCTGGCCCCCAAAGCAGTCAACATCCACCCTCTGCACAATCCCCCATGGAAAAGCACCCCAGTAAACACACTGGTGCACAGCTAGCACACTGAGGAGCTGGTGCCAAGCAGCCATCGGGGAAAGAGACTCTCCTTTCCTCGCCAGGGATTTGTGGTGGGCGGCAAAGGCTGCAAGAGGCCAAGCTGCCATGGAAACAGGAGCACAGAGAACCTGGGATCAACAGAGCCCAACTGTTCGACATCAGTCCCTCTGCTGTGTTACAGGTATCATCTGAGCACTGCACAGCACTTGTCAGTCTTGAGCGTGCTGGAGGCTCAGGGACAAGTTGCACCACCCTGGGTGGGTGCTGGGTCATGGTCATGGTCTGTGATGCTGGGGTTGGGCACAGCAATGCAGGGTAGGGAAGGGCTCAGTGAGACAGGGACAGACCAACCACTAACCCACCATGGACAGCCAGACACCTGGGACTACCATCCCCAGGTGCAAAAGAGGCAACAAAGCCCCAGATGTGGACAATATCCTAATAATGACCCACAGCCAAGGCCATGGTAAGACATAACAAATGTTCATAAAGTGCCTCAAATAAGGAAAATGTGCTGTTATTACTGTTAAATATTTATTCCACTTTCTGTGAACCTAAAAATACACCAAGTGCAGAGTATTTTTTCCCTGTACAGGTTTTTTGGAATGTGTAATTGTAGAATATTTTCTGCCTCCAGCTATTTTTCTCAAATAACGCCCACAGACTTTACTGCTTGGGGATTTGTTCACAATGGTGTTAAGACAAAAAAATAAAATAAATCAAATACTACCACCCGGCAGGGAAGGGGCTGAGTCAGACGGTGGTTGTTTAGCACAGAGAACACCAGGAGCCAGTGCTGACATGAGAGCAGTCAAAACCAGCCACAGGGCTCTCAGTGCAGGAGAGATGGGGTGGAAGAGACAGCACTGCCAAGGAGCCTGGGTGGGTCCACTGCGCTGCACTCTGCCTCCCCAGAATCTGCCTATCTTCATGCTGCACATCAGGCAACAGTGCTGGGTACTGCGACAGCTCACTCATTGGGCAGCACCAGATCCCAAGCTTTTGTTGTTGAGATGCTTTGTCACATCTTCAGCGTGGGATTTAGTCATCACAGAAGTGAGCCAGCCCTACAGCACGTGTCGAGCTGAGGGGTTTAACTCACGTGCTTCTTATTTACCAGCTGGTGCCTGGAAAGCTTACGTCTTCCCATGCTCTGCTGACCTCCCACCACCTAGTAGGTCATCATGGGTCCCTAAGCAAAGGAGCCCAAGAAGACCATCAGTGGCATGGCTACAACATAAACCCTGCGTGGAGGGACAAGGTGGATGATGGGCTGCAGAGGTCACTGCCATGATCCAGCCATTTGGATGGGTGTCGTGGTTCAAGCCCAGCCGGCAACTTGGAACCACACAGCCGCTCACTCACCCAGGACAATGGGAAAGGCAGAATGCTGCTCACCAGGTCCCTCAGGCATGAAATCAATCTCTGGGGGCTCCTAGAGACTTGGAAATAGGGATTAATTTCTAGATGAAGGGGTGGAAATTTGCAAGCAGCTGCAACACAGGATGCCCAGCTGAGTCTCCAAGATCACATCTCCAAGGGTATGAATTGTGAAGGCAGCTGTGGAGCTTG